TCTTTGGGATAGATGTATACACTTGCAGATTGATCGCCGTAGCGTTTACCGTGTTTGGTAGACGTGGCGTAACACCCCGTTTGGATTTCTTTTATCCAGTTCTTGTTTTATCTTCCGTTATGCTAGTTTTGTTGTTTGATCTGCATGTGTTAAGGCTTTTTATCTAGCTTGTTTGGGTGGTGTTACAGTCATCAACTTCATTAGGCTCAACATCTAAGCCATCCAACACCGGAGCTGGCTGTGCGGGCTGAGGCGGACGTTCGGCAGCATCGGTCCATGGCAAAGGTGTCACCACGTCGACAGCAACAACCGGATCAACCGCAAAATTACCTGGGAATGGCAAAAGTAAATCACATAAACCAAAACAAAAAAAAACACCATTACATAAAAAATACAATTGCACGACAGCATAGAACCGATATAAAAGGACATACGCACCAACCAAAGACCTATAGCGCACCCACTTAAATGCAAAAAAAACAGGAAAAAAACAATCGCGATGCACAAGCCCAAACCCCAAACCCAAACACAGAAACTGGACCATGTCCTCCAATGCTCCAGCTAACACGTCAGTCTTGGGCGCATAAATTTCACCAATAGTCTACAATGATTGGATACAAAACAGTTAAAACACACGACTACACGAGAAGGAAAAAGGAAAAACTGAATATAAGCACACATGAATTAGGACACACAAGTCCCCCGCCAAAAACAAATGAAAAAACCCCCCCTTACAAACTCCCCCACACAGAAAATGGAATCAAAATGAGGCAGCCAAATAATTCCAAATATAATTTGCACATATCAGAAAAATGCACGTAATATAAAATGCAACCCCCTATGAACAGCAGATGCACACGCTGGATGCTTTATACACACATACATTTGTTGTTTAGAAATTTTGCATCTCATGAATGTTAAGAAGATTGAGAGTAGCCAACTCATGATCAGTTAGAACCAGTAACATCGTCACTGTAAGCTACCACTAGAAACTAGTACAAACTACCAGATTAGTTATAGATCAAATAGTCAATTGCACGATTATTTTCAAAAGTAATACTGCAAATAAAATATAAAAACATTAAAATAAACGATGTTAAGCAACACAGGAACATGCACACGCTGGAACAGTTATATGCACAAAGGTGTGGTTAAAATAATTTCAAGGTTATTTCCAAAGTAACAATGAAAATTAAATTCCAATTACATCAGAATAAACATTGTACAGGTATATGCACATGCTGGTAAAGTAATACGCACAAACTAGTGCTAAAAAAATTACACAACTTTCGACGATTAGGACGACTGATATCATCCAAATCATGATCAGATTGAGGATAAAAAAGACTACTACAGATTTATTTCCAAATGAATACAGAAATTAAATTGTAATTAAACTCAAATCAACACTGTTTAGGAATGACAGCAAAATGCACACAGTGGTATACCTGTACGCACATACAATAGATTTGTAAATGTAAAGCAATCTATCGGAATAAAGATGCTCGATATTAAACAATTCATGACAAACAAAATATCAACAGAAAGAGACCACACTTTAAATCTAACTTGCACACGGTCACAGACACAAACGCACAAACCACCACCAATAGCCGCGAACCACCCCGAACCCCTAAAAACTAATAAATAAATTAAAAAGCACGCAATTACCGAATTCCAGACGCGCAGCAACTAAAATGAAAACCCCCGTTAAAAAAACTAGTGCCAATTAGCTTGTACATTACACTCTAACCTGCACAAAGGAACATACTGCTACGCACAAACCTATTCCACCGATTACGTAAGCCCAAGTAACCCAAAAAATAACATAAATAAATACACAGACAACCAATACAAGTGGTGGAACACACATACGTACAAAACCGAAATAAAACCAATAGTAACAAACCCGACCACACCTTACCCCTAACATGCATAGAGTAACAACTACAACACAACAACCACCCCACCCAAAACCAGTAGCCCACCACCCCATCACGAAAAAAAATGAAAACACAAAACCATAATGTAGATTACAACTCCAGACACTATCACACTAAACTATTGGACCCATATGCATTTACCCCACCAAAAAATCCAAAACCCAGACCCCATTCTGGGTTGGAAAAAAAAAGGGAAGACACAAAGTAGTTGACATTGTCTGAAAAAACCATACACAATACAACAAAAAAAAAAAAAAACAACATTAACCGAAACATAAATAACATGAAAAGTAAACATGTTACCACTACAAACAACAAAAACGCCCCACAAGACAATTACCCACACATTTGAAGCCTTGTACCCCTAAAAAAAAAAATATTGAGCAAATACTAAAACAAAAATACACATTGCATGAAATAAAAACAAAAAACACCAACCATCTAGCTACAGTACACAAAAATAAAACCCCACACCCGCCTCCAAGCTCGGAGCATATATAATCCCCAAATACACCAACCACATAACCCCCACGCCAACGCCCCCCACCATGAACAACAAAAAAAAAAAAAAAAAAAAAGAACCCGACTAACATTTTCACAGTCATAAACGAAGCACCACCGAACCACCCCCCATTAATACCCCAACCGATTAAAAAAAAAACAAAAAAACAAAAAAAAAAAAAACCGTTACCCTAACCCTAAACCCAGAATTCGACCAGAGAAAACAACACACTCACCGCCCACCAACCCTACTTGAATCGACGACCACCAGTCGTAAAACCGTGATGAAAAACCCAGAAAAATATAACGCCCAAAGGAACTACAAACAAAATAAAAATACAAAAATCCAAAAACCCACAACCATACCCGATGGTACAGAACGCCGGTTAAAACCCCACTATGGAAAACCAAAAACGCGAACGGAAAAAGGACGAAAAAATCAAATAATGGATGAACATAATACCGGTATTTGAAGCAGAAGAGATTCCCCTAAGCCTCTTGGACAGCCTCCTGCTTGAACCAGCCATGAAGAAACCACAACTTTGAGTACGCCGGAGAGATTATGCGAAGTGGAGAGGAAGCGGGTGAAAAAAGGAAGAGAGCTGCTTGGGAAACGGAAGAGACCGAGACACAGTAAGCCAGCGGAGATAAAAAGACAAAGTTCCTATTTTATCTATTCTCTTTGCAAAATTACCTCCGTCAATATGGCTAGACATAATAAATGCCAACTGAAAATTACAAAACAACCCCTAAAACAAACACACGTGTATTCCATCAACACACCATCTCACCGTTCAAAAAAAACCCATCAACGACCAAGAAGCGTGCTCACGAACCTGGCTAACTACGAACCTGGCTAACTAGGGGGTGCACCGGATTCAATATATATGTATGTATATATATATATATATATATATATATATATAGAGAGAGAGAGAGAGCGCTAATCAAGAATGTACCAAACATGTAACAAATCCCTAAAATCCGCAACACATAATGCATGGTTACATATTGTGGTTTTAATTCAAGTAAATGGACAACAATCAAAATAGATTTTTCCTTTCCATTTTTGTAACATGTTGCATGTTGCTTTTGAAATTCAAGTGAGTAGTGACGCGGGGATGTGATATCAATTTTCATGAACTTGAAATAAAGGTATAGGGTAGGAACAACCAATCACTCTTCAAGTACTTGGTTAGTCGATTCATGCCCATCTCATAAATATTTGTAGATAATATACAACTGCAAAATTTTGAGTTCACAGCTCTCGGCACTCGTTTATTCCCTATGAATGTGGGACAAATACAATGAGAGCTGAGATGCAAGATTTCCATATATTTTTTTATATACATAATTTTATTGTTATATAATAAATGTATTATTATTATAATTATTATAATAATATTATAATAATTACTATTCTTTCCAAAAGGTAAAAACCCCAACCTTAAGGGCCCGACAGAACATCTGGGAGGATGTAAATCATGGTAAATCAACTGAACATGAACCACAAAGGCTAGACCTTTGCTCCCTATGCACAAGGAGCCCCCCTCACTTTGAGAGGTTGCTCCCACACTGCCGCTGGTGAGACTCAGTCCCTGGTCATTCTTTCCAACTTTCACCTCCATGACGAGTTGAGCTGCCCATGTGGACAATAATTATTATTAAAAGGATGACTCGTGTGCATGCACTTCAACATTGTAATATCATAGTTTTCCTAAAATTCTTAATGCTCCATTGTTCAAATCCATTTTATCTTATGAGATTGATGTTACCATGCTTCTAGCACTTTTTTTTATCATGGGAGATTGGTGCTCCTTGTACTTTTGTTTATCTACATTTCATCTTGAAAAACTGACGTTACAACTTACAACACTTCTAGCACCTTTGTTTATATTCATTTTATCTTAATCGGGAGACGGACGCTACAAGCTCCTCCACGTACTCTTCGGAGGTAGCGAATAAATTTTATGAAAATATGTGTGACGACACAACTTAAATTTTATTCTTTGAATTTACTGTTCCGTTTGCTTCTACTTAAATAAATTTCCTACATCAATGACAATCCTTATTCGTCAAAGTGGATAAGGTCATTGACTTTGAGAAGATTAATGAAACGGGTTTTTTTTTTCTAATGAAAATGATTAAATAGTTCACGAGCAGAAATTATTTGGAGTTGTTAATTATTGTTTTATGTAGATGGAATTGTACTTTTAAACATAAATTATATAATATCAATGGGAGTTAATGAACGATTTGGTCCCTCAATTATTAGAGAACTGTCAATGTAGTCCATCAATTGCTTATTCATCGATTTGGTCCCCGAAAATAATTATTTTTAGTCGATTTAGTCCCTCAGTCCGTGTTCCGTTGACGGCCAGAGAGACTAAATCGACTAAAAATAATTATTTTCGTGGACCAAATCAACGGCCGGAGAGACTAAATCGACTAAAAATAATTGTTTTCGAGGACCAAATCGATGAATAAGCAATTGAGGGACTACATTGACAGTTCGCTAATAATTGAGGGACGAAATCGTTGATTAACTCTATCAATGGTCTTGTAGCTCAGTTGGTTAGAGTGTTGGTATTATGAGCCAAAGGTTGCGGGTTTAAGCCCCGCTAGGACTAGGGGTGTCAAAGTGGGCCGAAGCCCGCGGATTAGCCCGCACCCGCCCCGCAATGGGGCGGGTTAGGGCCGCAAGAAATTAGGCTCACGAAAATGCGAGCCTAATGGGCATGGTCCGCGGAGGGCCAGAGCCCGCGCGGGCAAACCCGCACGGGTTGCGGGCCGGCCCGCGGGCCAGGTCATATTTAAAAAATAAATAAATATATTATATATATAATATCTTTTTTTAAAAAAATCATATATATAATATCTTAATTCTTAGGCAATGTGTAGATCTAACTATCTAAGAATACGTAGAAGGGGAGAAATCCAATAATTCAATAATCTTTCGCCAATTCTTAATTTAATAATTCCTAGAGTACGTAGTTCTTCAGTTCTCCCGTCACCATCCGCCTCCAACTCTATCAAATAATTACTAAAACTAAATCATCAATTCATACATATTTATGAATTACTAAATCGCCTCCAAGTCTAGCAAACATACATATTTATATATGTGTTATACACAGACGGGAATTGTAGAGGGAAAATCTGAAGCCGAGAGAGAAATCGAGTGTGCTGTTGAACCCGTGATTTGATCACCCGTCTACAGTTCTATTGAACGCGCGGTATCGATCCGGGTGATTTGGGCGAGATTTATGGATTTTATGGAGGTTTCCGGTGCCATATTTCAAGCGGTTTTAACATGTTTATATACTATTTAATATTTTTTTTAAATGTAAGTAATGGCCCGCGGGCCAACCCGCGAGACCCGCAAACCCGCATGGAGCGGGCTTGGGTTGTATAGTTCCAAGCCCGCGGGCTTCGCGTGCCGGCCCACCAAAGTCCGCCAAATAAAAAGCCCGCGGTGGGGCGGGCCTAATGAGGCGGGCCAGCCCGTATTGACACCCCTAGCTAGGACCATGGGGACCATAGAATTTTTTGCTCCCCACACTTTACGTTCATCATACTTTCCACAACGCTTTATTTATAGGGCTTATCTCAATCTCAATTTAGCTATCATAATGTGTTAAGCCAATCCATGATGTTGTTAAAAAAAATGAAAACAAAATTTTATTAAAGAAAATTAAATTATTTTCACTCGAATCAAGTTGTGGACGAATTAAGTTTTACGTATTCAAATTACAAGTCGTTGATATAGGAGTTCAAATTGTGAATGAGTCTTTTTAATTTCTTGGTTATTCGTAGTTGCTAATTTGCCCTTTTTCCAATGTATATGTATCACTCATCATTTAGCTTATCTATCTATACTATTAATAATAATAAAAAAAAATCCTCTATTTTAAATTTCCGCCCAAAAATAGTCTTATACTATTAAAATTTGAGTAATATTGTCAAATAGTATTGATGGATATATTAGAGATGGACCTAGACCAAACTGACCCGAGGAGAAGTGGAAGCAACCCGGAGGATTACCCAGCCTGGGGAAGGCCTCAACTAGGGGTGGCCTCGGCTAGAGGCGTCTTCGGCCCGGGGTGGCCACGGCTAGAGGCGTCTTCGGCCCGGGGTGGCCTCGGCTAGAGGCATCTTCGGCCCGAGGTGCCTCAGCTAGAGGCGTCCTCGGCCTAGGGTGCCCTCGGCTAGAGGCGACCGCGACTCGGGGTGCCATCGATTAGAGGAGGCCTCGGCCCGGGGTGCCCTCGGCTAGAGGCTAGGTGAGGGGGTGCCCTCAGCCTTGTGCTATACACGAGTGGACTCGGTCAACAAGAACCACCCACCCACCCTATTCTCATGGGGGCGGTTAGGAGGAAGCTTAGTATAAAAACACCCATTGTTGTCTTGTTATGACATCTCTTATCTATCTAATTCACTTGTTCAAAAATTACATCTACTTGTAATCTTCCTACCAACACTACATTAATACAAGAATTGTCTCCACGACATATATTTCTTGTCTTTTCCTACTTTATTATTTATTCTTTATTTATCGGATTTAGTAATTCGGGCTACCCCAGGTTAATTAAATCCATCATTGGTGCTTACATTAAGAGCTCGACATACAAGCTCGAGTGTGCTCTATATTCTACTAGCTATGAAAATAACGAGATCACCCTCTCGTGATTCAAACGGTTTCCACAACACTCGTTGCACCCCGAGCGGGAATAGGCCTCAACGGGATCGCCAGCCGGCAACAAATCCTTTCCGTGAGGTCGACAAGGGACCTACGGGGCCGTCTCAACAATAACCACAACGGTGGGTCGCCTCCTACCGCCCCCCTTCCAGCCCCAGGCCTCCAAGAGGGGATGGTCGCCATCTAACAAGGTGCCGCTGCATTGACTCGCCTCGTGGTAGGGCTTAGAAGAGGTGTTCTATACCCACATTCGGCCCCGAGGCCTCCCAAAGAATGCCAACCTCCATCCCGCCCACCTTGAGGGAGCTCGATATGACAAGCACTCGGCTACCCCGAGCCCTGGGAGCTCAACTTGAGGGGGATGTCAACTTACCTCGACCATCAGGCAGCCAAGGAGGAGAAGGTGGTACCTCGACCATCAGGCAGATAGGGAAGGGATTAGGTGCGGGTGGTGCTTCCCGTGCGGTTGTGCGGGTGGACTCACATTAAGCATTACACTAGCGCACTTTAAGTACACAACAGACGCACATTAAACACAAACAAAATACATTCAGAACACAAACTCACGCACCTTAAGCATAAAACTCACACATCTTAAGCATAACCTTCACGCACCTTAAATACAAAACTCACGCACCTTAAGCACAAAAACACACGCACCTTAAGTTTTAACAATAACTCACATTAAGTGCACACTCACGCACATTAAGTACAAAACTTATGCACCTTAAGTACAAGAATCACGCACCTTAAGCATAAAACTCACGCACATTAAACACAAAACTCGTACACTTTAAAGTTTCAACAACAACTCACATTAAGTACACACTCACGCACATTAAGCACACAACTCTTGCACCTTAGACACAAGACTCATGCACCATAAGTACAAAACTTACGCACATTAAGCACTACACACTCACGCACATTAAGCACAAACCTCACGCACCTTAAGCACAAGACTCACGCATCATAAGCATAACCTTCACGCACCTTAAACACAAAACTCACGCACCTTAAGAACAAAAACACACGCACCTTAAGTTTTAACAATAACTCACATTAAGTGTACACTCACGCACATTAAGTACAAAACTCGTGCACCTTAAGAACAAGAATCACGCACCTTAAGCACAAAACTCACGCACATTAAGCACAAAACTCATGCACTTTAAAGTTTCAAAAACAGCTCACATTAAGTACACACTCATGCACATTAAGCACACAACTCATGCTCCTTAGGCACAAGACTCGTGCACCTTAAGTACAAAACTTACGCACATTAAGCACAAACCTCACGCACCTTAAGCACAAGACTCACAAACATAAAGTACAAAACTCACGCACATTAATCACTCACACAATCGCACGGGAAGCATTCACCAGCACTTGAACTTAAACACACACACACACACACACACACACACACACCACCACCACCACCACCACCACCACCACCATTAGGTATGAATAAAAGCACCACACAGTGTTCGAAAATGCACCATTATGGGTAGGGAGTTATATGGTGTATTTTTTTTTGGGTGTGTTGTGTATTTCTTGCATTTCATTGTTGTGTATTTTCATACACTATTGGTGTCTTTTGTTAACACATAAGGTCACCTGCAAAGAAGGGGTGCGAGACGCTAAGCCCTCCTCTTGTGAGACGAATCGGTTTCCAGATACCTTCTTTGACTCTCTCCTGAATATCCCACGAAAGCCTTTCCATGGCAAGGATAAAAAGATATAGCGCAAGAGGATACCCTTGATGCAATCCTCTCTTAGGTTGAATGTATGGTAATTTCTCACCATTCCAAATAATAGACATGTTGGTGTAGGAAACCGTGAAGAGGGCTAGCCAAACAAAAACTCTCCGGGAAACCAAACTCTTGCAACGTGATCTTCAAAAAGTTCCAATCCAAGCTATCATAGGCTTTTCGAAGGTCAAGTTAGCCACTACCGTGTGTATCTTCCCTTTCTTATGATTAATGGAATGAATAACTTCATGGGTGAGGATGACATTATCCATAGTAGATCTACCTGGCAGGAAGCTGTTCTAGTGGGGGCCTATGAGCTTCTACATCCAAGGCCGATGCCTGTTAACAAGCACCTTTGAAATGATTTTGAAGGCCACATTGCGGAGAGTAATAGGCCAAAAATCCCCTGCATTCTCCTATCTGTCAACTTTCAGAATAAGGGTGATGTGCGCAGACAACATACTCTCGGGAATCATCCTAGTTTTCAAGGCATAATTTACCATATTGGTAATGGAGGCTTCCACAGTACTCCAATAGTGCTGATAAAAAGCGGCCTGAATCCCGTTGGGGCCCTGTAACACCTCGTGTTACGGCCTCTAACCCAGACTAATTGTCTAATTGTTTAACAAAAATGATAATTAGAAAAGGGACCTGATTGGGGTAGGATTCCTGTAATTAATTAAGGAGGGTCCACCATGGATCATGGACCCTTATCCTTAAACCAAACCCTTAGTCCTATAAGGAATAGAATAAGTAAATCCTTACCATTCAGACCTTAGTTAGGACTCCTAAATATATATAAGGACTTAGGAGGCACCTAGAAATCCCACCACGATTGATTCCACCACACAAGATTCCCCAGGAATTCCCCTGTCACCAAACGTAGGAGAAACCACGAGGTGGGGATCTTAGAGAAAGAACCTTAGTAGCCAAGGATTTTAATTAAGGCTAAGAGGTAACCCATGTCTCAACAAAACCTATTTTCCTTGCTATATGTTCTTCATTGGCTTTCTTGATATATGATTCTGTGTTCGAGTCTTGATAAAGCTTTTCGTAAGATTTATATGGTGTTCGTGAGATAATCTTGATGATTATGTGTTGATCTTGATACTTATGTGATAATCTTGATGTTCTTGATACCATGATAAGTTATATGAATGATCTTGTATTTTGATTA